TGTGTTCTGGGCCCTGTGTGTGAGCACGCATGTGCACGTGGCCCTGAGGGACACAGCCCATGTGTGCCCTTGCCTGACAGAGCAGAAATAGGCCACCGTGGGATTCTGGTCCAAGAAGCGCTGACCTAGAAGCAAGCCTGGCTACCCTGTGGCAACTGAGATGTGGACCGGGGAGCACGGTGCACAGACTGCCCACGCCCTGAGGGCAGGTCTGACACCCTCCGCCCCTGCCCAGCATCCACATGGGCAGAGAGCGTCAGAATGCATGTTTGCGGAGCAAATGCACAGGGATGGTCGTGGAGGGGCCTGCCTGGTCCTCGTGGGAGAGGTTCCCAGGGCACCGTCCTGCTCTGCTGGACACACTGAGGATCTGAGAGGGGTGCGCTCTCCCAGACTGGCCCCAACCCCCTTCCAGAGCTCCAGCCGCCGCCCAGCAGGCCTTGGGTGGGGCCTCAGAAACAGGCCCATCGGATACCTGGACGCTGGAGGCGAGGCCACCCGCTGGCTCCCTCACTCCCGCTGGCTCGCTGGGCCCTCCTTGGGTCGGGCCCAGGAGCCCTGCACGTGCATGTAGACACATGTGGGCCGCCTCGGGCCGGGCGTGTCCTAATTAGCCCACTCTCTTGGGAGTTCTTATTGAAAGCAAAACAAACCAAAAATGTCCTGGTTTTGCCCAGGTTCCTCCCTGCTGCCAAGTGGGTCTCGCCTTGGCTTCCGGGGCCGCTGGTTCTGGAGGAATCCCCCCTAAGGCTTCCGTGCAGCCGTGTTGGGCCTCTGACATGAGCCTGGCCTCTGCCCGGGGTCCAGCCTGCCTTGGTCGCAGGTGAGGCAGCTGGCAAAGCTCCCCAGCCGTTTGAGGAAAGAAATGCAAAGGACTTTCCCAGGGTCAGGAAGGAGGGCCCCTGGGGAGCCACACAGTGACCCCACACTTCCTCATCGGCGGGGTCCCCTGCTGCACTCAGAGCCACAGTGTGGGAAGCAGACGGGAGGGAAACTCTGCCGTCTCCTGGGGAAGCGAGACCAGAGAAGGGGCAGCCCCAACGGCGTCCACTCAGACAGCGTCCCCTGGGCATGAGCCGCTATGGTCCGGCTCCCTGGGGAAGAGGGAGCTTCAGAGGCACTGAAGTGGAAAACGCCACTGAGCCTGACATCTCAGAGGGCCAGCAGGAGGAGGATCCACAGAGGAGAGCGTGGACCCTCCCCCCTCACTGGCTCCCTCCGAGGGCAGGGGCGGACACTCTGTGTTGAGAGGCTGCAGGTCGTAGAGCGGCTTCTTCGCATGTCATTAGGACCCTGGCCCACACAGGCCCTGCCCGCTGGAGGCCCCGGTTCCCTCCTGCTATGGCTGCTGGGCCCAGAGATCCTATCGGCCCTGTTCCTTTTGGTTCAGTGACTAATTCCCTGGCACCTGCCTCCGATGGTAAAGAATGTGGACAAGTTAAAATCTGAACAGTGTTGTCGCGGGGCTGCCTCCTGAGCCTCCTGAACAGGGAGGCAGGAGCTATCTGCCCCACTGGCCTGGGCCGTCCTCCTGTCGGGGATGGAGCGGGGAGGGCATACCTGGAACCCCGCCTGGGCTGTCCTCGATTTTGAGGCCAGGATGGAGGCAAGCTCCCTGCAGCCCTCGGGCAGGCAGCTCAGGGCCCAACCTGGAGAGGGACTCTGGGCAGTGGGCAGGCTGGGTCTCCCTCCCCACCCCAGGGCCCACCAGGCTCTCAGCCTCTGCCGGCGGGAGGGGCAGGCTCACGTCTGGACCACATTCCTGGGCATCCGTTATACTGGGGGAGCTGTCCTGCCGCCGGGCACACCTGCCTTCATCATTCATTCATTCATTCATTCATTTGTTCGTCTGCTGGTCTCCTTGTGCAGCAAACCTCTTGGGTGACCACTCCGTAATGAGAATCCCATGACACCCTGCAAAGGGAGCGCTAATTATAATAAGACGGTAATCGCAGCTGCGAGTCCTTCTTGGCCCGGTGGACACTGATTGAGGGTCCAGTCCGGCGGTGTCCAGGAGAATGGAATTTGAGCCACATATGCAATTTTGCGTTTTCTAGTAGCCACATTAAAAAAGATGAAAAGAAGCCGGTGGGAGTAATGTAGTAATTTATTTTATTTATCCCAAACTGTGCTCGTTTCAGTACATAATCACGATGAAATTGCGAATGAGATTTTATTTTAGGATCTTCTCTTGGCCCTGAGTCTTTGGAATCGGGGAGCCTTGCCGCCCACAGCACGGCTCAGCTTGCACTCGCCACGTTCCACATCTGTGGTCACTGGCTGCCGTATCGGACGGTTCCACGCGTAGGGGCGCATCCCTAACCCATAGGACGCCTGTCCTTGTAGGGCCCGCAGCCCAGCCTGGGAGACTGAAACTGCGGGCTCACACAGCATGCACCCTCGGGAGCAGCGCTGATGGTCCAGGGGGCGTGAGAAAGCGCTTGGGGGTCCCCCGCCCAGCCCCGCCCCCCACCCGGCCCAGGGATGGCTTGTTCTGTCTCCTTATCTTCTCGGGGCTGCGGCTGTGCCTTCCCACCTCCCTTCACTTCCCACCTCCCTTCACAACAGCCTGGGGCCAGGAGAGATGAGGGTGTCCCTTTCTTGTTTTACTTTAAACATGTAGCTTTACAGACTTCTCATTTACATACCACACAACTCACCTATTTTAGGTATATGGTTCAGCGGTTTTTACACTAAATTCACAGATAGATGCACCCGTCATCACCGTCAAGTTTAGAACAGTTCTGTTGCCTTAAAGGAAACCCTGCATCCCTCAGCTCTTGGCCTCCAGCCCCCTGGCCCCAGGGCCACCCGTGTCCGTCTGTCCCTGTGTCTCTAATTCTCGGGACTCTTGTAGAAATGGAGCCGCATGATGAGGAAGCTCTCGCATCAGCTTCTCTCACTCAGCACGTCCTCGCGTTTCCTCCAGGTTGTAGTGCGTGCGTATCAGGATTTCATTTCTTCTCCGTGGCAGAGTAATGAGCTCGCGCTGTAAGGACTGCAGTGTGTTCCTGCCCTCCCGTCTGACACGGGAGGGACGGCTCTGACCACTGACATCTGTGCGAGTGGCAGTTAACTTCTGGGGCTGGAGCAGGGAGGAAAGCTCCAGGAGCGCAGGGCTGTGGCGTCGGTGAGGACCCGCCGCCTGTCACCTGTCGCCTCCCTCCCTCTCGGCCCGTCCCCTGTGCTGAGCTTCTCCCAGGCTGGGCAGCCTTCAGCAGAGGATTGTCCCTACTGAGAATCCCCCTCCTCAGGCCGGGAGGGGGCTGGGGCGCTCTGAGGACCCTTGTCACGGACACACCAGGAATGTGTGCCCTCAGTGTGCTGAGCTGGAGGGGGCCCAACCCCTCGGATAGAGACCAAGACTGGGGTGCGAAAGAGGCTGAGCCGGGGTCACCCGTGGTCCTGGGAGAGACCCGGGAATGTGCTGTTTTGTTTTTCAACCTGGAGGAGGCAGGCTGTTGGCGGGGAGGGCGGTGCCCCGCTGAAGAGTGTGCAGGGCAAGGGACCCTGGTCTCGCGGCCGCCCGCCTCTGCCCTGTGTGGGGACCTGGGCCTTCTGCCCACCAGATAGAAGCCCCCAGTTCACCATCCCACCTGGGGTTCCCAGGGCCTCTGCCCCTTGGATGGTTGGTCTCCTGTGTCGTCTGCCAGACCCACCATAATACCCTGGACAAAGTCACTCCTCACCCTGTGCCTCAGTTTCCTCACCTGTAGACCGAGGATAATAGCACCTCGGGCCTGTGGAGCAGATTTTTTTGGGTGTGTATGAGGAAGACTGGCCCAGAGCTAACATCTGTGGCCATCTTCCTCTATTTTATGTGGGTCGCTGCCGCAGCATGGCTTGACGAGCGGTGCTAGGTCCATGTCTGGGGTCCGAGCCTGTCAACCCCGGCCGCTGAAGCACAGTACGAACTTAACCACTACGCCACAGGGGCCAGCCCCCCTGTGGAGCAGATTAAATTAAACCTCAGAGCCGTCCTGGCACCGAGAAAGAGCCGTTTAAGCATTTGCGGTTAGAGGCCTTTCTGGCCAATGTCAGCTATTCTGTTACCCTCTGAACCCGAACCTGCCTCCCACCTGAAGCCTCCAGACTGGGGAGGGGTCTCCCTGGCGGGCCCTGCAGGTGGGATCTGATCTGCCTGGGTCAGAGGTATGAGGCCAGCACCCCTTCCCTCCCTCGCTGGGGCCTCCCTTAACTCCTGGAGGGGGCTGATCCATCTCGGGGTCCCAGGGCCCCACAGAGGGTGACCCAGGGGACACACCCACACTGGACAGCTCAGAGTTTCTATTCCTTTGGTGTGTGGCCCTGGGGGAGGGGCCGGGTTGCCAGGGCCCATGCCTGGGGTAGGGGCAGAGAGTGTGGACCACACAGAACTCTTCCAGCAGGAGGGAAATGTGTGGGGTGGAGGAGGAGGCGGGCAGCATTCTGATGCAGATGGCGGCAGCCCTATTGAAGGGGCCCTTTGAAAGCCACTGACCTTCGGCACCCACCCCCACCCCACCACCTAGAGGGCCAGACCTACGGGCCAGATCTGGTCCCCCACGGCCTCCTGGGCATCCTCTGCACCAGAGCCCAGGGTGAACCCACTGCCTGGCTCCCTGGGGCTGGGGTCTCCCCACTTTGAGTGGTAACGGGGAGACTGGAGGCAAGGATGTCCAGGCTCCGATGCTGCCCCTGCAGAATGCAGTCGGAGCCCAGGAGAGTGTCCAGGGGCTGGGAGCTGCCCGCCCCCACAGGCAGCTCCCTCCAGGTGTGCTTGGTGGAGCCCCAGAAACCCTGGCACCAGGGAGCTTGATGGAGAGGGGAGGGCGAGGTGAATGTCAGTTTATCCCAACACAAGTAGTGACCTGTCGGGTGGGGGGGCACCGAGGGAATATTTGGGATGACTGAGCCGCTGGCCCTTTAAGGCTCCTGTAACAGGACACCTCCCGCCCGGCGCTTCCACTCTCCAGCCTGACTGTGTGTCTCCCCCTCCCTCCTCCCCCTTCCCGCGCCAGTCCCAGTTCAATTTGCTGAGCAGCACCATGGACCAGATGAGCAGCCGCGCGGCCTCGGCCAGCCCCTACACCCCGGAGCACGCCGCCAGCGTGCCCACCCACTCACCCTACGCGCAGCCCAGCTCCACCTTCGACACCATGTCGCCGGCGCCGGTCATCCCCTCCAACACCGACTACCCGGGCCCCCACCACTTTGATGTCACCTTCCAGCAGTCGAGCACGGCCAAGTCGGCCACCTGGACGGTGAGTTGCACCCCTGCTCCCAGCGGGCATCTGTGGGGCACAGGGTGTGGAGAGCGTGGCCGGGTCCCGGGCACCGAAGGTGGGTGGAGCGTGCCCAGCTGTCCGCACAGGGTTCCCGCCTGGCCTGGGAGGCCGTCCAGGAGGAGTGTCGGGCAGGAGGCGGGTCTTGGGGCTGGGCAGTCTGGGCGTACCCACTCCTCAGACCATGGCCAGAGCCGGCCAGCCTCCCTCAGGCCCCAGAGGGGATGGGCGTGGCCCCCCAGCGAGGTCCGTGGGGCAGAGGCAGACCGTCCTCCCCAAGTCTGTCTGGCTGACGGCAGTCGGTGCGTGCAGCTGGGAGCTGGGGGCTCCGGGTGAAACCCTGTCCTGGGCGGGCAAGAGGCGCGGGCTGCCTGGAGCCATCTGAGGCTGGCCCGGGGTCCCTGAGGATGCTTCCTCCAGGCATCGCAGAGTCAACAAGGAGCGTCTGGTGGTCCGAGGGTCTGGGCTTTGCCAGCAGGGTCTCTGGTCTGTCATTTCTAAGCACAGGTGTGAGACAGGGAAGCTGGGGTAGAACCTTGGTGCTATGGGCTCGGGTCGTGCCACTGCCACCGTGCCCTTGGGAGCATTCTGGCCCCCATCGGCATTTTGCCAACTTTGATAACATCCCGTGGACCCACGGCTGCTCCCTGAAAGCTAGACATCCTCATGAGTGCTTTGAGTTTGTGTTACCTCTTGAGCCCGCCCTGCAACCCACAGGGTGGAATCTGTTATTGCCCTATTTTACAGCCAAGGAAACTGAGGCATGGAGAGGGAAAGTAGCTTGCTCAGAGTTTGCGGATAGTGAGCAGGGGTTCTGGTGTGGGAAGCCGGTGGCTGGGCTCCTGCAGCTGTGTTCCTAACCACTGGGATGCTCTGTCCTTACTGCAGCTGGGAGAGCAAGGGGCTGCCAGACGTGTCTGCTGGGGCACGGTAAAGGCTGCAGGGAGGCCGAGACCCCCTGAGAGACGGCAGGCTCACCTCCGAGTGTAGGGTAGGGCACTGAGCAGGAAAGGCAGCCCCATGGGCCCTCTGGGTCTCCTGCCCCCAGCAGGAGGGGGGAGTGGGCCTTGCCCTGCGCTCGCCCCATGGACACCTGGCAGGTCCTGGCCATGGGGCAGCAGCACTTCCTCCAGGGAGCAGCAGCTCTGTGCTCACCCCTGCTCCCTAGAAATGAGACCCTGGAGCAGAGAAGCAGGGTGGCCACATCCCCACCCCACAGGAGCACTGAGCAGGTGACCCCAAGGCTCTGTCGCTTTAAGACCCCGGTCCCACGGTCCCCACTGCCCTGTGCTGGAGGTGGGGTGGAGCCTCAGGTAGCCGGTCAGGCTCTGCAGGGGCCAACTGGGGTCAGGGTTCCTGTCCACGGCCCCCTGCGGCTGTCTCTGTTTCTCGCTTGCTGTAGGCCCCTCAAGCTGCTGGCCTGTTGCTGATTAAGGCTCAGCCTGACTCCAGGGCTTCCACTGGCCGAGAGGGGCACCTGGGCCAGAGACCCCGCCCTGTCAGTGCCTGGTTTTCCTCTTTTGTGAATTTTTACTCCCATGTTCCTTCTTGGTGGTGGTGATGATAGGTTTAAATGAGATGATGCCTGTGGAGCACAGGGCTTAGCATAGTAGGAGCTGGCGTGTTGTCTTTATTATTGCCTTGGTGGGCAGAGGTGGCAATGGAGTGTCATGGAGCCTGGTCCTTCTGGATGAGTCGTTCAGCAGCAGCTGCACCTGCCAGAGGGTTCTCTTGGTTCTTTATTTCCTGTGGGGTCCTGGGCTCCCCACCCTAGCTTTGAGATCCAGCTGGGTGACCAGAAGCCAGGTCAGGAGGCCTCTGTAGCATCCCCACACTTGCGCACCTCTGGTGACAAGAGGCTCACTACTGATCCTATTCCATGTTCAGACTTGTTTCCTAAGCACTTTCTTTCCCCTCTAAGAGGGTGGGTCCCAGTCCCCCTGCACTGACGTTCTGTCATCAGGGCCTGAGCGTCTGGTCCCCTAGGAATCCTGGCGGGCACTGTGGGGGTCCTGGCTTCCTTCCTCTCCACTGTTTGAGGATGCTGGTGCAGTCTCTGCAGTGTCTGGGGAGCTTGGAGCTCCTTGGATGCTCTGAGCTGGTCCTCAGGGAAGGCTGGGAGCTGCCCCGCTGCCGGCTGCCTCCTCCACCTGGGGGCCCTCTGCCATTTTCCCGGTTCCCTCCACCACCACCTGCCAGGTGTGTGGCCTCAGGGATGAAAGGGCTCATGGCTTGGGCTCATACTTCAGGGCTGGAGTGGTCTACCCTGGCCAGCCTCTCCGGGGAGCAGGAGAAGGCTCACCTGTGCCCAGCAGCTCTGCCTCAGAGCTCCCCT